TTATCAGTTTTTTCTTAAATATGAGATATACACTACCAAACACATATTTCGATGACTACATTTTTAACGTAACACTATCAAATCAATTGCCCTTTGAGAAATCTATCATTTATCAAAATATATTGATGATAATTGAATCAATAGTGATGAATTTAAGGACTCAATTAAAAATAGATTATTTTTAACATGAAATGAATTCTTATACTTAGCAAAAGAAAACTACCAATCAAACTNATATATATATATAGGTGTAATAATAAATTTGAAATAGCTACTTCTATAGTCGGTTTAGTTCAGTTTTTCAGGCTTGGTTTGGTTTTTGGTTTGATTCGATTTTTTGGGTTTTTATGAACACCCCTAGCGGCTGTCAGTTGACTGATCTTGCTGATCAGTCATCTCATCACGAGTGTTTTCACCTGTATTGATAGATTTTGGAACTATTGGAAATGTTCTCATTTTCAGAAAGTTTTTCATTCCTTGAGCGAGGGTTAGTGTCCACAAAGACAACATGTATAGATTCTTCAATAGATAGAGTACGTTTATTAAAAACTCTACATGCTCTACTGGAGGGAGAGTATCCAAGAAAAATACCTTCATCGCTTTTTGGATCAAACTTACTATGGTTGTCTTTTCCATTGTTGTGGATAAAGTATTTGCAACCAAAAGGATAGAAATAACTGATGTTGAGTCTTTTACCTTTCCATAGTTCATATGGAGTCTTTTTGAGAATAGGTCGAATTAAGCATCTGTTAATGATGTGACAAGTTGTACTTACAGCTTCTGTCCAGAAGTGGTGTGGGAGGGAGTTTTCTACAATCATAGTTCTTGCCATATCTTGCAAGGTTCTATTTTTGCGTTTTATCACTCTATTTTGTTGAGGTGATATAGGAGATGAAAATTTGTGGGAGATCCCTTGATCATTGCATAAGTTTTCAAATGCTTTGCTTTCAAATTGTCCTCCATGATCACTTCTTATGGCAGATATGTAATTACCTTTTCTTGCAGAAGAGTTCAAAATTCCTTAATGCTTCATCTTTATGACTCAGAAAAATAACCCAGGTAAATCGAAAAAAATCATCTACTATAACAAAAGCATATTTTCTACCACCTATACTAGCAGTTCTAGTTTGACCAAAAAGGTCCATATGTAGACGTTGAAGAGGTTTTGTAGTAGAAACTAAGTTTTAACTTTAAAAGAGGACCTGTTTTATTTTCCTAGCTGACATGCATCATAGACTTGATCTTTTGAAAAATTTAATTTTGGAAGACTAATGACAAGATCAAGTTTGGAAAGTTTATGAATAGTATACATGCTAGCATGACCAAGTTTTCTATGCCAAACCCAAGGATCATTAATCATAGATGTTAGACAAATATGATTTCCAAGACTATCTATATTACTAAGAGTGTAGACATTATTTCCAGACAGAATAACTTTACTTGATTCGTCTTCAATAAACCAACCATGATTTTTAAAACAAACCTCATAGTCATTGTCACATAGTTGACTGATGAGTTGGTTGTAGCCAAGTTCATCTACCAGGTATACTTCGTCTACATCACACGATGAGCTGAGATGGACTCTTCCAACTCCAATTACATTTTCTTTTGATTTGTATCCAAAAGTGACTGATCCACCATCTAGTTTAGTGACAGTTTTGAACAGTCGTTTGTCACATATCATATGTCTGGAACATATGCTATTAAGATACCGTTTCCCTTTTCGATTTTTCTTGCGGTGTTCCTGCAAAAAAACAAAATCACTTGTTTTGAGGTACCCAAGCCTGCTTGGGTCCTGAATAGTTTACTCTGAATATTAGCTTGACTGGAGGCCTTGGGTCGCCAGACCCATCTTCTGTTGTTCTTAAACCTGCAATGGTTAGATGTATGGCTAGATTTTCCACAATAAAAGCAAGAGGGGTTATTGGAATTTTTAGAGATTTTTTCTCCTCTATTTCTAAGCCCGCAATGGTTAGAGGTGTGACCAATTTTGCCACAATAAGTGCATGTAGAGAAATTTCTTATTCTAGATGTGAAATTACGAGGACCTGACTGATTTGATTTGACGGAACTATGACTGGTGGATTTTCGCAATCCATTTAGTTGAAGTTGAAGTTCATTAACTTCATCTTGAAGCATGTGTCTTTCAATTTCACAAATTTCTAATTTCAGTGCCCAGTCTTTTTATTCTCTTTGGATCTTTCGAAGCTCATTTAGAACTTTCTCAATGTCTGCAAGAGCAATATCAATAAATTCTTGAAGTTCATTACAGTTAGGACATGTTGTAAGACGCAACTCACTTGTTCCTTCATTTTCCATGAGATCAAGCTCGCCTGAATCTTCATCACTATCTTCTTTGATGGCCATGAAGCACATGTTGGCAATTTCTTCATGATCAAATTCTTCTTCATCACTCCATGCTCCAAAGGATTTCTTCTTTTGGAAATTTCTGCTTACTTTCTTTTTCAGCTCATGGCATTCAGCTTGAATGTGTCCATGTTTTTCACATTCGTAACATCTTCCACCATTTTTGTCATTTTCATTATTCATCTTCCCTTTTCTGAAATTTGATTTACCTCTTCTGCTATTTCTGTTTTTCCTCATCATGCTTGTTATAACTTTAGAGAGCATGGCTATATTCTCATTTTGTTTTCCTCCTCCTTCTTCTTCTTCTTCTTCTTCATTTTCTGATTCAGCTACAGTTGCTATGAATGGAATTGTCTTATTTTTTTCTTGCTGGACTTGCCTGTCTAAATGTATTTTCTCAAACGTAATTAGAGCACCTTTGAGTTCATCATATGACATCATGTCAAGATCTTGATATTCCACAGCAATAACTTTGGGTTGCCAAATCGTGGGGAGACTTCTTAGAATTTTTCTGACTTGTTCTCCACTTCTGATTGATCTACCAAAGGACTTTAAGTCTCCAAGGATTTTGCTGAACCTAGAGAACATTTCTTCAACTGATTCTCCATCTTTCATTTGAAACAACTCATAATCTCGAACTAGGAGATTAATCCTTGTTTCTTTTACTTTGTTTGTTCCTTCATATGTGACTTCTAACTTGTCCAACATTTCCTTCGCAGTTTCATAGCTAGATATCTTTTTATACTCTTCTGCATTGTACAATATATTTTTTGCCTTGGCATTCACTTGGATAACAACTGCTTGTTCTTCAGTGTATTCATCTCAATCGAGAGGATCAGATGATGCTATAATTTCACCGTCTATATCCTTCTTTGGCGGAATTGGAAGATTTCCCTTTTTGATCACACGTCATACCTTAATGTCATATGACATAGTGTAGGTTTCCATATGAACTTTCCAGTATGAGAAGTGCTGGCCATTGAAGTAAGGAGGTCGTACCTGAGAAGTTCCTTCTTGAAATAGTGCTCCAACGACTGTGTTTGATGCCATGATCTTTTCCTCACTTGCTGTTAAGCAATATTCGTGAGTCCTTGCTCTGATACCAATTGAAAGTACAAGAGGGGGGAGGGAGAGGGGGGTGAATTATAGCCGATTTTAAAACTTAGTTGACTAAGAGAGGAATTAGTCGACTAAACTTCACACCGGGATCAACCGCAACAGAATTAAATTGCACATACAGAAGGTAAAGGAGGCACAACAGTTATTATACTGGTTCAGTACTGGTGTGGTACCTACGTCTAGTTTCCTTAGGTCACAAGGGTTCTCTTAGATCTCCAGTAAGTCTTTACAACAGTGATGATTTTAGTACGTTCACAATGTTTGTACTAAGAACTAGAAAGGTATAGAAACATATGTGAAGTTGCGTAATCTTCCTTGTCCTTCTACTTCTTCTTCTTTTATATTGCTCGATGAGTCTTCTGATTTCTCTTTTCTGGGATCGCACAGCAACAATGATTGGAGGTCTTTCCTTGTGAGGCATAGATTTATAAGAGTGAGACCCAAGGGTAACCTCATGATCTAGCTTCAGAGGTGTGGCCAGATTCATTCTGAGTTTGAAGATTTGGTTCCTCTTATTATCCTTGGTTAGAGCTTCCCTAGATTGCCCTTTGATTTGTTCTCTATCCTTGATTGACTCTCTTTCCTTTCTTGCACGCTTGAGAATCTTTAGCAAGTCTGATTGATTGACTTTTCTTCCTTGTTTTTTGATTGATTGATTTTCTTTCCATTTGATACAGAGTTCGAAGAACATAGCCGTTGGTTTCCTCTGATTTCCTCGTATGATTTTCTTTCCTTTCATTCATTAGCGCTGTTGCGAATCTGCACACAAAGTGAGATGACATTATTCTAGGCTCTTTTGATTATTGATCATTATTAAAATTCTAAACCTAACAATAGCGAGAAAGCTATTGTTATTTCCATATTTTTTGAATTAGTTGAAATATCATAGGTAATTTCAAAGACCTCTGTCCTGGTTTGTTTTATAACACTCGCCTGTCGTATTTCGATATTTTTTAGTGAAAATGGTTTCAAAGGACATTTTTCAATAATATTCCATAATTACCCTTTTAAGCTTGAGGATTGTTTATTCTGGTAAACTAGTCTCAAGTCTTTCTGGTATCTAAACAACATTTAAAACCAATAACACAAAGTCATTGCTTCTGCTAGTCAATCATACATGAATTTACTCTCCTTCTGCTAGTCAAACTTTTAACCCAGTCTTTTGCGAATTGAACGGAGTTTGTTTTTATCATTGTTATATGAAGAAGTCACTGGTTGTTAGCTAATTTTACGCTCATTTTGTTGTTTTCTTGTTGCATGTCCAATTATATAAATAAGAGATGTCCGGAAATCATTCACTTCTTTATCTTTTATGATCTACAAATACTATTTAAATTCTCTTCCCACAATTGCTAAGAAGTAAGTTCAGACGATCTATAGCGCAAAAAATACTACTTCTATGAATGACATTGTTACAGTTCGTTGGGCTGATTTTATTTTCTTTATCAATCAGGTAGAACCGTTGTTCTATCTTGTCCTTTAGTTATTTCAGGTAAACCTAGTTCATAACCAGGATGTTTGAATATATTGAGCAGAATGACAAGTAATACAAAGAGTTACCCGCGAGAAGAAATTGTTACTGATCATATTGTAGTGAGGTTACCTGTGAAATCACTGTAGCGATTCAAATGTGTGTGCAATAGTTGGCGTGATCTTATAAAAAGCTCGAGTTTTATCAGAAAGCACTTTGATAGCGAGAGTATTCGTCCTCGTCTCACGGTTGCCAAGTTCGGTGTTGATTACAATCATGATCCCGAGCCTTTAAGGGCTTTTGATCTCTTCTTTCTCAATGAGAAGATATACGCAGGATGTGTCCCTACCTATCGGAGGATTTATCGTTGCGAAGGTGTTAGTGATTTCAGAGATATTCATGGTCCAATTGACGGATTATTCTTATTAGAGAAAGGACATTTTGCAGATAATGTTCGGTTTGCTTGGTGGAATCCTGCTACTAAAGAGTGTAGTCTTATTCCTCGTGTCGAATTTGAGCTTCAAGAAAGATTTCAAGACTGCTGCCGTATGGTTGGAATAGATTTAGACAGAGTGAATCAGGACTATAAAGTTGTATGGTTACGAACATTTTGGGACGAAATGACAAACGATCTTTATCCTAAGATTTTTGCTGCTCTGTATTCGTCGAAAAATGACTCCTGGAAATACTTGGAACCTAACTACTCTTACGAATGTCAATTATCTGTGTCCCAAAATTGTACTTATATAAATGGAAAATATCATTGGATGACCAGAAGCAAAGAAATATGCAACAAAGACAATGTGTATAGTGTTCGGACATTTGATTTTGTGACTGAATTGTTTGGGGAAATGACAGGACCGCCAATTCCAGGTGATCACTGGGCGACACTAATGTTACGCGGTGGCTCTCTTGCAGCTGTCTTCTGGTAATATGGCTCAGCCTCAGACATCCTGTTATGATATATGGGCTAGGATTCGAGAGAATAATTGGATCAAAGTTTATACAGTGAATCCTCCTATACCTTCGCATTGGCCTAATGGCATTTGGGAGTATGATAAGTTTATTTATGAACTAACAGAAACTAACAGGATGGTCTTTTATGATCAGACGGTTAAACAAGTTACAAATCTTGGATTTGATCATTTTCAACGTCTAGATTCTGGATTCTGTTGGACTACTGATTATAAGGAGAGCCTAATTCCAATAAAGAGAGAAATACCGACTGAGCAGGATAATGTTGAACACTTCTTCACTAAGTTTTAAACAAGCACGAGATGTGACCGTCTATTTTTGAAGAATAGAAACGGGAATAAAGCTTACGACTGTTTTCTGACTCTTCATATTTGCCTTGGCCTTCCTTCCCTCGTTTAAAGGTCTCTGACTGAAGTCTGAGATGAGCCTAAAGAAGTGAAAAAAGCAAAAGGAAAAATATTAGAATGAGATAGTAAATCTTTAAAGTTCAAGATTTACCAGCTCAGGCCAGAGAACTCTACCTTCTAGACAGAGGACTAATGTCAAGTTTCAGAATAAGACCTGTGCTTGGTGTTTCTTTTTATTTTTGCACTTTTGGAGTGTTCTTTTTCTTTAGTATTCCAGGGAAGTGCCTTGTTAATTTGGAAATTCTGAAATTTGTTAGAACTTTAGAGTTCTTCTATATATATATTGGTTAAATGACAACAAATGGAGGTATATATTCAACTAATTATCAATTAAATTGATATCTAACTAGTGGTATTTGAATGGTTCCGAAATTCAAGGGAGTCAAACGATTTTTCATTTCCCCTAATACTTCACATAATCGATTGCTTCTTTCAATATCTATCTTCCATCAATGGCGCTTGAATTATAATCCTAGAATTTTGATAGTATTTTTCAAATTGCGCTTATAAGCTATTCTTCCTTAACGTACCCTCTATACAGGGGCGGACCTACGTGGAATGTAGAGGGGTCACCGGCACCTGTTAAGCTCGGCAAAAATCCTATATCTATATGTATATATATGTTATATACCTTGAGAAAAGGTTATATACTTTATTAGGCACCCTCATACTCAAAAGCTCGTTTGGGGCACTGGTTGCGTCTGCAGCTTATTGCTGCTCTTATGCTTGGATAATTGGCCCAGCTCCAACAATTCCTTGTAAGCCCAGATTTCTTTTCATTTGGCTTTTTTTCTTTAGTTTCTGGTCCTTTTTTTTTTCTCTTTAGTTTCCCCCCCAAACCCCCTTTCTTTTGATTAAAGCTCCCCCTCAAAAAATCCCAAACTCGAGTCATGACTATGTCAAAAATAATAGTGCCCCGTCACCTCCAAATTCTGGATCCGCCTCTGCATTTATATGTTTATAAGGGTACTGCTAATGAAAATGCATTAACTTAATTTTATCCTAATTATGGTTGCTTGATATCCTACTTGCAAATGAAACCAATCCTAATATGTTAGTTCTTCAGAAGCCTTTAAACGTCGCGTTATATATTCTTCGATAGTTCTATGGCCAACACTTTTGTAATTAATATCTCCTTCAGGGAGCTGAAATCCATCAACATCTGGAATCTGGATATATTTTGTCAAGTGACAACAATTTATAACCACACACGTAACCTATACTATAATTTATTAATATTTATTTCCTTTTGAAAAACTCAACAACATTCAAAAATGTGGTATCCGGTGTTGGAAAGCATGTCAGGCTAATAGAAGGGAAAACATATTTAAAAGAGAAATGCAATAAATTGCACAAGACAAGACAAAATTTACGTGGTTCGGCAATTTTTGCCTACTCCACGGCCATACAAAGAATAACTCTTTATTAATTGAAGAGAAAAAAGAAGTTGAGGGATGATATACAATTGAAGGAAGGGATACCTATTTATAGGCAGAACGTCTGATGAAAGAAAATTTTCAGCAAATGTGAATACGATGAGGACGGCACCGCAAATTGCGCGCCGAATCTTCTTTCACATTTGCAGCCTGCCAACTTTGACTTTTCCGTGTTTTCTTTCTTCCTTTTTTCTCTGTCTTCTTTTACAGTTTTTCTTTTTCCACGTTTTCTTTCTTCTCTTTTTCTTCTTTTACAGCTTTTGTCTTCTTTCTTTTATTTCTTTTACAGTTGGGTTTGTTCCTTTCAATCTCCCCCTCAAACCCATATACAAGAAGAAAGAAAATTTAAAAAAAAAGATTTGCTATTCTCTAGTGGCGCCTTCACATTATCAATCTTGAAGGCTAACTAAGGCGGTGCACAACCTCAGTTTGTCAACACCGACAACTTTGGTTAACATGTCTGATGGATTCTTCGATCATGGTATCTTCTGCAGGGAAAGAGTTCCTTCACTTATCAACTCTTGGATATGATGATACCTCAACTGGATGTGCTTTGATCTTGCATGAAATACTTGATTTTTGGCAAGATGAATTACACTCTGGCCGCTCTTTACCTAGATCTTTAAGAAAATTCTTGAGCCAAATCATCTCTTTTCCAGCTTCTGAGATTGTCATGTACTCTGCTTCAGTGGTAGATAGAGCAACACTTTTCTGAAGTCTAGACATCCAGCTAATAGCAGTACCACCCAAGGTGAACACATAGCCTATGGTACTTTTTCGACTATCCAGATTGCCGCCTAAATTTGCATCAGCAAAACCTTGTAAGATAATATTGCTCCTTTTAAAACAAGGTGCCATACCTGAGGTGCCTTTAAGATATCGCAATATCTATTTTACACCTTCCCAATGCTCCTTTCCTGGATCTAACATGTATCTACTGACAACTCCAACTGCATGGGCTATGTCAGGTCTAGTGCAAACCATAGCATACATCGACCTTCCTACTGCTGAAGCATATGGAACTTTGGACATGTACTTTCTTTCTTCATCTGTCTTAGGTGATTGGTCCTTCGACAGATTAAGATAGATTCCGAGTGGAGTGCTTCTGGTCTTTGCATCATGAAGACTGAACCTGCTTAGTACCTTTTGTATGTACTTTTCTTGAGACAATTTTAAGGTTCTTTCATACCTGTTTCTGCTAATCCTCATCCCAAGCATTTGCTTAGCTGGTCCTAAGTCTTTTATTTCAAACTTCTCCTTCAATTGTTGCTTAACCCTGTTGATCTCATTTATGCTAGATCCTACAATTAACATATCATCAACGTACAATAGTAAAATGGTATAGGATTTATCAAGATTTTTGTAACAGCAATGGTCCATCTCACATCGTGTGAAACCATTATTATGCATGAATCCATCAAATTTCTTTTACCATTGTCGGGGTGCTTGTTTCAAATCAGACAAACTCTTCTTCAACTTACACACAAGGTTTTCTTTACCATAAACTTAAAAACCTTCAGGTTGCTTTATGTAGATGTCTTCTTCAAGGTCACCATGTAAGAAAGTAGTTTTAACATCTAGCTACTCCAAATGCAAATTTTCTGCAGCTATGCTACTTAGCACCAATCTGATAGTAGTTAATTTGACTTAGTCAATTCCTTCCTTCTGCTGAAAGCCTTTTACTACTAATCGTGCTTTGTATCTCTCATTACCATCATGCTCTTCCTTGACTCTGTACACCCACTTGTTCTGCAATGCTTTCTTTCCTTTTGGTAACTCTGTAAGTATCCATGTTTTCTTATTTTGAAGAGGATTTATCTTTTCTTTCTTGGCTAGCTTCCACTTATGAGAGTCTATCACATGCATTGCTTCAACAAAATGCTCTGGTTCTCCAGCATCAGTCAAAAGTAAATAGTGAAGAGAAAGAGTTAACCTATCTGGAGCATTTGTGACTCTTTTAGATCTCTTTAATGTAGGTTCAAGAGTAACTGATCCCGAATTTGATTCAAGTCCTGACTCCAGATTTGTTTCTGCATTTGATTCTATCTCTGGTTCCGGTTCTGGTTGTGATCCAGATTCGGCTTCTGGTTCTTCATCTTCAATTTCAGAATCAGTTGTAATCTAGACACTTCATTTTGTGAGATTTCTTCTAACTCAACTATTTCAGATGTCTGTTTGCTGGTGCTGGTTGGTTCTACTTCAAACTTGTCCTTGTACATCAGATTTTCATTAAATGTGATATTCTTGTGTCTTAGGATCTTTCTATTCTGATCATCCCAAAATTGATAACCAAAATTATCATCACCATAGCCAATGAAGAAACATTTCTTGGGCTTAGGATCAAACTTATCTCTATCATTAGAGTTTACATGCACATACACAACACAACCACAAAATTTTCAGATATGAGAGAGTTACCTCCTTTCCTGTCCATACCTCCTCAGAAATTTTAAAATTCAGCAGTACAAAGGGTCCCCTGTTTATGATGTAAGTTGCCGTGTTAACAGCCTCGACCCAAAAATACTTCGGCAATCTAGAATGTATTCTCATACTTCTGGCTCGTTCATTCAGGGTTCTGTTCATCCTCTCAGCAACGCCATTTCGTTCCGGTGTTCCAGGAACTGTCTTGATCATTCTGATCCCATTCTCAGAGCAGAATGCTTTAAACCTTTGACTATCATACTCTCCTCCATTATCAGACTTCAAACATTTAACTATAGACTTGTCTGATTTTCAACTTCAGCTTTCCATCTTTTGAAGGTAACAAACACATCAGATTTATTTTTCAGAAAATAAACCCATACCTTTCTTGTGGAATCATCAATGAAGGTGACATAATAGCGTGAGCCTCCTAGAGAAGATACAGGAGCTGGTCCCCACACATTTGTATGCACTAGTTCCAGCTTTTCTTTCTTTGGTGTCCTTCCCGCCTTTGAGAAACTAACTCTTTTATGTTTTCCGTAAATATAATCTTCGCACAAACCTAATTCAACATGCTTTAGGTTTTGCAACTTTTCTTTTGATGCCAATAACTCCATTCCCTTCTCACTCATATGCCCGAGCCTCTGGTGCCATAATGTTGTATCACGGCTATGATCAATTGTTGCTATAGTA